TGCATGCAACATATATGGCATGCAACAAAAAATTAGTTAGGCCAGCAATTTGGCCCGCGGCCCGCAATTGTTTTAACCCGCAGCCCGCAAAAACTGACCCGCAGCCCGCAAAAACTGACCCGCGGCCCGCAAAATAGCTAGACCCATCAGTAACTAGTTAATAAGTAAAGATTAATGTTAAGTGCATCGTTAGTATATAGTTAAGGTTAATATATATATATTAACCTTAACCATACCCTGTAAATAAATTTAGATTGTTCTGAAGCTGTTGTATTGTAAACAACGAAACGTTAGCTAATAAGCTTTTTACTTTTATTATGTTTGGCTTTAAAGTTATTTGCTGGGCTCTGTTCTTTATCTTTAAACTAAGATCAGTTTCCGCTTGGTGTATCGATTGTCACATCTGTAAGATTTAATCATTTTATGCCACCAGCATAATAATACTCAGGCCACCAGTGTAATAATAGGCCTACTCCGGCCACCACGACAAATTAATTGGGCCATTTTTTTGCTCTTTATCGCCCCGTTATATGAGATGCGTTATGTCTTGTTAGCTTGTATTTCTTGCTACATTCTCCCCCCTTATATGAATTCAGTTTGCATAACTACTGATTTAATAATCATCTTCAGTGCTCTGTGCATGTCCTATAACCCATATACGTGCGATAAATTATTTTGACACTTATGCCACAAACGAAAATGCTCTTAAAACTGTATAGTAACTTGTTTTGAAGATTTTTGTTCCCATGCATGCTTAGTTCTTGAGATATTTTATCTTGTTTGTAACCATGTGACGTCAATGACTCAATTACATATATAACGAGATATCAGTAATTGTTGTGTATCTTTGCTATTTTTTATCAAATCTTTTCAAAGCCGATGCAGATGATTTTCAAAGATTAACCTACAACATTAAGAATGCCGTTTTTTTAAACAAATCCATAAAAAAATAGCAAAGACACACAACAATTACTGATATCTCATTATATATGTAATTGTGTCATTGACGTCACATGGTTACAAACAAAATGAAATATCTCAAGAACTAAGCATGGGAACAAAAATCTTTAAAACAAGTCACTATACAGTTTTAAGAGCATTTTCGTTAGTAAGAAAATAAAATTTTTGACACGAGTGCCACTTAAAGTTTAGTACAGTTAATATATGCCAGCATATAATTCACAAAATTAACAATTCAAAATGGCCACTATCGAAATTTTCCCGTGCGATGACTACTAAGACCAGCATTCCTCGCGGACATCAAGCCTCGTGACGTCATTATGCATAATGTCTATTTAACTACAATCTTTATAATTAATTGCTGATTAGGAAGCTAATTAAAACACTCATTAAGGGTTTAGAAATAAACCGACAAAAAACGATTGCAGCATTCGGAAAATAATGTTCAAAAGTTAATGTTTCTTGATAGCTACAATTGTTACATTTTGATTAAATTTGTTGGGCCAAGTCAAAGCGAATCAAAGGCCGTTGAGGCTGACTCACGAATAAGACCAAATGAAAGTGACAGAAAGAATTAGAGCAGTTTGCAGTTGTTTTTGCAAACAGGGACAGTGCGAATTTTGCCATTTCACCCATTTGTTGTTCTTCTTTTGCCAAATCAAAAGAACGAACGCGTGCTCCAGCCCGATTTCCGGTTCTGAAAGGCCCGATTCGCAGGCAACTAGTGCGCGCAAAGCAGGCTGGTCATTTCCCATTGTTTAACTGCTCCACACTCAACCCACACTCAAGTAACCACAAAGACTCGCAGATGTTGCTTCGCAAATGCCAAATTATACTTGCAATGAGAGAGTGGAATAAAAGCATCTATGCTTTGGGTAAAATACATTTTAACATGTGGGGAATAAAAATGCCTTCTTGCCAGGCATTTGGTATAATTGTTTGTGATGACGATAGTTACTATACTAAGGATGAAACATCTGTCTTGTGTAAATACATGATGAACTAACAACTAAGTACCGAGGATAATGCAATGGATTTGATATTTTTTTATAGTTTTCTAACAGTCTCAAAACTTATGATACTTTTCCCTGAGAATATCCCACGAGAAACAACGAAGGGGATAAAAAAAAACAACCGGAAAAAATTCATGACTTGAAAGCGATTATCATTCACCATGCAATCTTTTAGAGCAAGTACGGTGACACTTAATGACTGACTAATTGTGTCTTAAAAATAGGTTGTGAATTACCTCATTTTAAAATTACATACATGTGTATAGTCTGTTTCGTAAAGCTGCTCACAGCTAATATAAATGGCCAAAAGGCCGAATAAAATCCCCGTATAAAACAGGCTCCGAATATACTTGAGTGCAAACCGAACAGATTAGCAAGCAGTGCATTTGCGTATAGATAAAATAAAATGCCAATACTCTATTTTAGTCTATATCTTGGACTTCAAGATGGATCTGTTTTTACTTAAAAAGTATTTCAATCAGCAAATTAATTTCCATCATGATCACAATGCATGGGTATTAAAGGTTAATGACCTTGGGGTTATCAAGCGGGGTTATCAAGCGAGGTTCCAAACACAATAGACACTCGATATAGCTTTCCAGATGAGCGCTCATTCTGAACTGAAAAAGCAACATCTAGTCGTACTGTGCATGTTACAAAATGTTGGTCTAATTCTGGGAATTCAAGTGAAAAGATACCCAATTTTCAGATCTGGATTTTGGAATCCAGAATTTCGCAATTCACCTTTGTACTTAAAACCGAAAGTACAACTATACATGTAACTATTGTTCTTGTTACCCACGCACATTCTCGCTTTCCAGCCTTGTGATAGGTCGATGGCCTAATCAGACCATCAAAATTTCTTGGAAGGTTAATGTTCACCAAGAATTTTGCAACTCGAGAAGGGTGGAACGCAAAATGTTGAAATAAAATAGGCTCATTTTCACAGCCCCCGCCAAAGGAAGATAGACATTTGTCTGAAACAGGGCTGTTGCGAGTATCAGTAAAGTTTGAATTTAAAAGAACTGTTTACATGATGCAGCCGCGGAAAATGCTAATTAGCATCGCATTTTGGGTGCTGATGTGGAATGCGTCTCAAGTCACTGCTTGGCATTGGTATGAGTCAAGCGCAATTCAGCCGTCGCCTTCTTTTCAAGCGACTCAAAGTGGTACGTAAGTTTTTATCTATAGTTATGTATTTAACGTCTTATTCCAATTTACTGAGAGTGTATCCTTAGATTACGTGCTAGACAAGGAAGTGTACGTAAAGAAGGGACTTCGCAGAAATCTAAAACACGCCAAACAGGCAATTTTCGTTTTTGAATTAATTGAGTTAACAATGGTTCCGCTTTCCATTTCGCGGTTAGCCGTATTCGAGATTTGATTTTTATGCAACCCCGTATATGAAAGCGTAAAACGAAACCGTCCAAATTTGTGTACGGTTTTGAATTCTTGCGCTCCTATTTGAACGAAGCCTATAATTACTACTGTCTTGTTTCATTAGCAACGCAAGTATAAGAGGAGTCAAAAGTAAAGTATGCAACAATCAGACATGAGCACAAATATGAAACCTGTTTTACAAAATTTACAAAGGAAAGCTTTTAGCTTTGTTTCTATAAGCCGGCTTACGTGTGCACAGCTCGTGAAAACTATTACTGCTTATATAGCCTGCGTTTTCATGGGATTTTCGCATATATTGTCAGTCACCACCGTCCGGAAGAATTCGTATAACTGTTTGCCATCCATGCATACTGGGAGTACATGAGATGTAACAATGGTTACGAATGCGTGCATCAGTATCATGCACCTGATATGATATAGTTGTGATAAAAACGGCAATAAATTTTTAATTATTTTACTAAAAAACACTGAAAGAGTATAGGTGTATTTTCTGATACGACTAGACAGTGTAAATATATTGTCTTCCTTTTGTAGTTTTACCATCACAAGCTGTTTGTGCATACTGGCAATTCAGATGTAATAATGGTCAAAGATGTGTGGATCGATATTATCTGTGTGATGGTTGGTCAATATGTTCTGATGGTAGTGACGAGTGGTATTGGAACTGCAGTATGTATCATTATAGCTATCGGCCATAGATGTAGTTCTTTGATAGTCATTAATCTATTGTCTCTCGCAATTGAATTGTTTAAAATTAGAGAAGTTTATAATAAAGCTGCTTGCTGGTCGTAGGGCAAGGAAAAATCATTGGAATTTTTGGGTAATTATCGTTCACAACCATAATCCAAACGAAAGATTTTAGTTGTTGATTATCTGTCTACAACAGAGTATTTTATTGAATTTTGTGAAACTTTTGTTTATGGTTCTTGCTTGGGAATACAAAGCTGCCAACTTGTGCTCTCTCTAAGTGTGCTCTCATCAAGTCTCTAAATATTTAAATAATGACTTTTTCAGGAAATTCCCAATTATTAAGACCTTCTACTACTATAAATGTACAAGGTAAGTGAAATATTCCGATCTGTGTACATGTACCTTGGGTTTAATTGTATGCCTAAGAGTGCTCTTATTGCAGACATGGGCTTAATTGCATGAAAAGAGAATTTCAGGCTAGCGTAGAGCAAAATGTTCGAGCTTGGGTGTATGATGCAGATATTTGGAAAAATTAATAAGGACAAAATTCAAGTTCTACTGCGCAGGTGCTATATATAGCCTGTTTAATTTGGCATCTTTATTTAATTCAAATACGGATAAACTAAGGATTCATGTTATAGACTTGTCGAAGTCTTGTCTCTTGACCTCTTTTATTTTTATTTTATTCAGCGTCACGAACGTTTTGTCCATATTGGCAGTTCAGATGTGATAATGGTTACGGATGTGTGAATGATTATGAGCTGTGTGACGGATATTGGCATTGTTCTGATGGCAGTGACGAGCGGTTTTGGAACTGCAGTATGTATAGTATAACGTAAACTTGCACAGAAAAATACTAACTTTCCCATTTTAGTAGGATAGCAGGGAAATCTATATTTGACTTTCTGAAAAACGCATGAGCAAAAGAGAATGAAAATCAGTACTGTGCCTGTGATAAAAAAAATTGACTTACATTCACTTTAACTTTGATTTTCTCAGCTTAGCCTTAGAGTTTATTTTTAAAAGCATAAGATGGGTCGGTTTTAAGCCATTTAGAACTCAGTGTGCTTTATCAGATATAAAAGCCTCTGTCGCCTCGTCTTTTAAATCAGATAAAGCATATTACTGTTATAAGTCATGCACTTATGAACTATTTCCGTACAAAACAGAATACATTTTATTAAATAAACCAAAACTAAACTTAACCATACAAACTTATTAATTAGCTACAGCAAACAGCTGCGTACAATTCTAAACATTTTTCTTGGACGGTCCAGTAAGTCCCATCCCTCATTGGGTTCAGGACATCGGCGCTATAACATTCTAAATTTGTTTCTACTGGATAGAATTCCAACTTTATTTCTTCTGTTTCTTAGAAGTTCAGTTAGAGTCTAGCTTCCTTAGCTAATTGATTCACAGGAGGAAACCTAAACTAAAGTAACTTTATTTATATTGGACAGCTCATTAGTTATGAATTGTAATTCCCTGCATGGAGGTCCAGTAAGGATCCATTGCTGTTTCTACAATTGAAAACGTGATTGCCTAGAGAAAACCTGGATTTTTTCCAATCCCAGAGCAAGAATTGGAAGTACTAGTATACTGCACTTCTCACTTTGAAAAATGGACACCCTGTCGTAAACTGCAGGCTCGGCAAGGAGTCTTTTTCGAGTCGCGTAACTGCGTCTTCGTTCAAATGAAGTCGAATTAGAATCCAATCAATATCGTCACTTTGATAATTTTATCAAACAAACTATGCAAAACGTGCAAATGCAAAACGTTTTTTTATTATTTTATATAGGGTCCTCAATAATGATAATGCCCTACCCAACGTCAACTTTACAAGGTGATATAAACGTTCGCAATAATTAATATTTAATAGACCTTAAGATTGACGTTTATGCCAGTCGGCTAAGCGCAAATGGCAAACTTTAATCGTATTTTGATGTCAATTGTTAGCTGTTCGAAATTAGAGAAATTTGTGGATTCAAATTAAAGCATAAATTAGCTACTTAGCTGTCGAAAACTTGTGGAACTTATCTCTATATAATAAACTATGTGGTTAATGAAAAAATGTTTATTATATAGATAACCGGCGATATTCTGTTAGACGTTAACGAGATGAAAGATTATTAATGATTGATAATAAATAGTAAATTCTTGATGATTGTTGTCAGGGGCGAAACTAGCCCCTTTTAATTAGGGGGGTGTCTGCTAGAATTGCCCTGCGAAAGCCGATGATGCCCTGCAGCAAAAGGGGGGAGGTCGACGGAAAAATTTTTTCCGGACATTCAAAAAAAAGGGGCAAAATATTTTTCCGGCCATAAACCAGTTTTTTCCGGACATAAACCAGTGGCTTTAGACCTAATAAACTCGCAGGACGTGTTTTATTAGGTCTAAACGTAATCAATAAAACACTCCTGCTCGTTTATTAAACAATACATTATACACGTATATTATATGTATATTATAATTAACCTTTTTATAATAAATAATACATTTCCATAACTCTGTTATTTTAGCCAAAGAGAGTGTGTATGTCTCTTCGAAAGGTAACAAAGCAATAAAATAAAATGGCATGAGAAATTTGAAACTAATACAGTAATAGAGTTTTTACTTTAAATTCATAAATCCATAGTATATGCACATTATTCCATATACTATACATCCAACGTATATGGAAATTGCTATTACTAATTTCCATACTATTTCCAGCTAAAATTCATAGTAATTTCTATAGAAAGAATTTTGAAGAATAATGCCAGTGTTTTAGGCGTGCTTAAAAAGTTTGCTTTCAATTTTAGGCGTGCGACTTGTTGGTGGTTCTCACAATGCGGGACGGGTGGAGGTTTACTATAAGGGTCAATGGGGAACAGTTTGTGACGATAGTTGGGACATAAATGATGCTCGTGTTGTCTGCAGACAACTTGGTTTTCAAAATGCCGTGGCTGCTTACCAAGGTGGTAATTTTCGCGATGGGAGTGGACGAATATGGCTTGACGATGTTCAATGTGGAGGTTATGAGTCATCGTTATTTTCCTGCAGACATTCTGGCTGGGGAAATCACAACTGTGGTCACTATGAAGACGCTGGTGTTCGCTGTAGTGGCACTGGAGGTAAGAATACATTAAAAGTATGACATTTGTGAACATGCAGCAGAAAATAAAAATGCAGTTAATAATCTGTGTTTTGGGGTTGGAAATCATGATTGTACTCTTCAAGAAGTTTTGGGGTTCGCTGTAATAACACTGCATGGAGGTTAAAGTGAATGATAAAAAATGGAGTCTGTAACATACAACAATTAAGCAACAAAATTGTCATTTTAACTTCTTGTCAGGTGTTAGTAGCCTAATACTATTTTGATTTGTGTAAAATACCAGGTATACATTTAGAATATTGCGAAGCTTTTGATCTGTAAGCCCGGATCTTCATCAGTGCAAACAATATATCCTGGTGGTGAGGTGGTGTCTTACCCAATCAAAAACATATATTGTCGCCATGCAAACTTACAAAGAACTTAATTTAGAACTATGACAGACGGCTATCTAGCCTAAAGTTAAGTTAGTTTAGTTTAGGTTTCCTCCTGTAGTGTGACACTGGATCAATAAGAGATGATCCTTACTGGATCTCTAGAGAGAACAGTTTGGAACTTATAGAGCTAACCAGTATACAATAAAGTAAGTTCAGGTTTCCTCCTGTAGTAACACTGAGTGGATCAATAAGAGATGGCACTTATACCGAACCTCTATAGGGAGAACAGTTTAGAACTTATAGAGCTATCCAGTATAAGGGCCTATAAGTAAAGTTGGTTTAATTGAGCGGGTTGCCTCCTGTAGTAACATTGGATCAATAGGGGATGATCCTTATTGGACCTCTAGGAAAAACAGTTCAGAACTGATAGAACTATCCAGTATAAATAAAATTAGTTTAGTTTAGATTTCCTCCTATAGTAACACTGGATAACCCTTCATTTATTTTTTGCAGGACATTCCGCCATAAAAGCTTCTCCAACTGTAAATGTTCAAGGTAAATTTAATATACGTTAAATCCAAATAACGAATTGTTGATGGGGCTAAATGAAATGAGAAAAAAAGTTAAAGTGCCCATGAGTATAACAATATTTTATTATTGCATTGTAGAGTAGTACTCTGCAATGCAACAATAAAATATTGTTATATACTCAGGCACTTTAACTTGTTTGTTCTCATTTCATTTAAAGAGTACTGAAAAGAGCAATAAAAATTAATTTATTATATAAACATAAGTGTTATATACCGGGTGGCCCAAAAAAAAGTACTCCTGTTTGATTCGTAATAACTTCTAAACAAGTAAAGTTTTTAAAGAGAAATAACTTGCATTAAATAGAGGAAGGACTAACTTAGATTTTGATATATTACAGTTGTATTTAACTTAAAAATTCACGGATATATTAATGTTAAAAATGGGGAGCATATTTTGGAATGTGTCTAAAATTAGCGAAAATCGGTATATCAAATATTAACTCCAGCGTTTGTTTGCTTAATGACATATTAGGCTAACTTGTATTTCAGCGAATTATCGTTAAGGTTTGTAAGGGATATGGCGTAGATTTAGACATCTTACATGTAAGTCTTAGCTCATTGTTTCCTGAAATATGAACGTTCGGAATTATGCAAGTATTTAATATTAGGTCTTTGCAAACTTAAATGTACATGAAAGACTGACCATGGAAGGCAGGCGCTTAAATTTTTCGTATTCTTAAATAGCCTAATTTTTTTATGCTTTTAATGGGTTCAAACAGACTGAGTAGATTATTTCTCGGTTAGAGCAGGATGAATATTCTTTATTGAAGGAAATAATATTGCTTTTTGCAAATACACATCACCGTATCAACGCTACTATTTTGTTACGTTCTGTTCCAAAAATGTTGCATGTCTCTGGGGAGTTGCTTAATTGTTATGTCTTATGGAGTTGTATGGTTTGATTGTGTTTCATATAATTCTCAGTTTACTCCATGAACTTGCCAAGAATAAGAAACGGCAAAAGAGTTTGGGTGTTCTTAACAAGATTTCAGAACGTTGCAGAAGTTAGAAGAGCTTCACAATTCCGTTGTGACAGCATGCCCTAATTCAGAACTACGAACGATCCAATGACGATCCCTCGCGATGCAGTGGTCTCATGAAATAAGGAAACGTATTCGTGCTAGGAACACACGCGAATTTCGGACGAATGAATCTTGCTTGTATTTTGTAGATATAATAATACTTTGTTTCATAATAAACAATTTGTCAAGTGTCATTTATTTACTGGTAATAGTGCATGTTTCAGTCGGGCAAATCTTGATTAATATTTGATACGCCGATTTTTGCATATTTCAGACACATCCAGAAATATCCTCCCAAATTTAAAGATTAATATCTCCGTGAATTTTTAAGTGAAATACAACTGTAATATATCAAAGTCTAAGTTAGTCCTTCCTCTATTTGATGCAAGTTATTTCTCTTTAAAAGCTATACTTGTTTAGATGTTATTACGAATCAAACAGGAGTACTTTTTTTTGGGCCACCCGGTAGAGTTCTTGGCCACTGAGAAAAATCGTATTTAAACAGACGTAAAAAATACGATATTTTTACGTGTGAAAATATCATTTGTTGTAAAACGCATTGCCAAGGACGTTTTATTGTTTTTCACTGAATTTTGTTTATATAATAAACAGAAAAATACATGGGTGCTTGGAAATACCAGATTTAATAAATCTGGTATTTCCGCGCACCCATGTATTATTCTCTATATCTCTTGCAAAATAATAGTATATGCATGTCAGTTGGTCAGTATTGTATTTTGTTTATTATATTTCTCCTTGTTCTGGACAGCAACACAAAGTTTTTGTCAGTACTGGCAATTCAGTTGTGACAATGGACAATGTGTTAATTCTGGATATCAATGTGATGGATGGAGACAGTGTTCGGATGGAAGTGACGAATGGTATTGTGGTAGGTAGTTGTCATTTGTTATGCTGGTTTAACAAACCTTGAGTTGGTAGAGATGCAACTACTTAAATAATACATGCAGGGAGAAATTCGACGTTTCGAGCGAACGCCCTTCGTCGGAAAATTAGTGGCCAAGACTTTGAGACAGGCCATCAAACTTCCTACCATTACGCCACCAGCGGACAAGCTAACTTCCAGACGAAGCGCCTTCGCTCGAAACGTCGAAGTTCTCCCTATATTTTTCAGATAGTTGCATAGATATCCCTATCAACTCAAGTTTTGTAATTATTGACACTACCTACACTACTGTTTAAGACTGGCTTCCCTGTTCTTCAACAACTGGCTTTCAAACCTTTTTGACTTTTGACCGTGGCCTGTTTAGCTCATGCACACCGCATTAAGAAGACACTCCATAAACGATTATTGCGTTCAGTGCGTTGTATGTCTGATTGATATTGTGTATGCCTATAATAGTCTACACTGGAAAATCAATTGAAAGTAAAAAAAAAGAAAGTATATCAACAAAATATGACCACATTTTGAAAATAGACAATACTAGCTCACGTTGTTTATACACACTTTGGACAGGTGTTCTTTTAGTTCATTTCGTCTTTTTAATTTTGTTACATTTCTAAACTCAGACTCAATTTTTTTATCAACATTGAGGGTCTCAATCTCCTTATCAGTATAAGTAAAGGTAGTTTAATTGAAGTTTCCTCCTGTAGTAACGTTACTGGATCAATAAGAGATGCTCCTTACTGGACCTCTAGGAAGAACAGTTTAGAAATGATAGAGCTATTTAGTATATATAAAGTTAGTTTAGTTTAGATTTCCTCCTGTAGTAACACTGAATAAATAGGGGATGATCCTTACTAGATCTCTAGGAAGAACAGTTTAGAACTGATAGAGCGGCTATCCAGTATAAATAAAGTTAGTTTAGTTTAGGTTTCCTCCTATAGTAACACTGGATAACCCTTCATTTATTTTTTGCAGTACATTCCGCCATAACACCTTCTCCAACTATAAATGTTCAAGGTAAATTTAATACGTTAATTCAAATAAAGAATTGTTGATGGGGCTAATTGAAATGGCAGCAAACAAGTTAAAGTGCATGAGTAACGATATTTCATTATTGCATTGCAGAGTACTAAAAAGAGCAGTAAAAATTAATATCTCTTGCAAAATAATAGTACATGCATGTCATGCAGTTGGTCAGTATTGTATTTTGTTAATTATATTCAGTAGCGTAGCCAACCCGACGATTTAGTCTTGCTATGCAAATATTTTCGTGTTCATTGACTGTGAAAATAGTCCATTTCTAAAGAAATGAATAATGATAATAATTTTGAATTTGCATAGCGGGACTAAATTGTTTGGCTGGCTATATACGCCACTGATTATGTTTCTCTTTTTTCTGGACAGCAACACAAAGTTTTTGTCAGTACTGGCAATTCAGTTGTGACAATGGACAATGTGTTAATTCTGGATATCAATGTGATGGATGGAGACAGTGTTCGGATGGAAGTGACGAATGGTATTGTGGTAGGTAGCTGTCATTGTTATAAGACTAAGACTGGCTTAAACAAAAGTTGTAGAGATAAAACTACTTAAAGCATACAAGAAGAAGACATTTGAGACAGGTCAAACTTCCTACCATTACGCCACCAGCCGACGAACTAACTTCCAGACGAAGCGCTTTCGCTCGAAACGTCGAAGTTCTCCTTATAATTCCAGCTAGTTGCATCCCTATATCATCTCAAGTTTTGTAATTATTGGCACTCATAGGCGTACGAGACAGGGGGCAGGGGGGCAACTGCCCCCCCCCCCCCACCCCCGCCAAAAAAATTTTTGGAAAACCATGAAAATTCGGGCAAATGCTAGGAAAAAGTAAAGAAAATTCGGGCAGATTTATCACAAAATAGGTTAAATTCAGGTAATTTGATTACAATTCTCCAAAAAAATGCGGACAAACTTTCGACTGCCCCCCTGGAAAGCATCAGCCCCGTACGCCTATGCAATGGCACTACCTACACTACTGTTTAAGACTGGCTTCCCTGTTCTTCAACAACTGCTTTCAAACCTTTTTGACTTTTGACCGTATCCTGTTTATTTCACACCACATTGGTGGGACACACTATAATTTCACCGAGAAATATTTAAATTAATACACTTTTAGTACACTTTTAAAGAGAGCGCAAGCTGTCGTGCGCGGCGCGGTGACTTTCCAGTTGTTTATGTACGATTATCGGCGTTGTATGTCTGATTGATATTGTGTATGCCTGTAATGGTCTAATCTGGAAAATAAAAATAAAAAAGAAGGTATACCAACAAAATATGACCACATTTTGAAAATAGGACACGGACAGGTGTTCTTTTTGGTGGTTCATTTCATCTTTTTAATTTTGTTAAATTTGAAAACTCAGTCTCAATCTCTTTGTAAACATTGGGACCTCGGTTTCCTCCAAAATAATCTGAATATTCAAAAATCGCTGCTTAAAGGCGTATGTGTCGTGACAATAAAAGTCAGCATATAGGCGTATATCCCCATTCCTCAGAAATGTAGTTCATCTAAAATAACAGGAAGTAAAATGTACGTATAGGCATACACACTGTGTTGCTCTTTTACTTCATCTGTATAGATTTTATACAACAATAAACAGTTTTTCAATTAAAAAGGTAAAATTCCAATGCCACAATACGGGCAAAGGACCAAAAAAATAAAAGCCCTTTTCCACTCAAAATTAAACCAACTCGCCAGCTCGCTGCGAGTACTTTCGTCCAATAATAATGCTTGACAGTGTCAAGTTATTGACAGCGCTTATATGCGTGAGAATAGAATGTATCACAATTTTTTTTTCTTTCAGCACGACCAACAACCTGGAGACCATGGACAACATCATGGCCCACCTGGCTACCATCACGGAACACATCAAGATATTGTCAGTACCAACAGTTCCGCTGCAGAAATGGTCAATGTATTCATCAATCTTATGTGTGTGATGGTCGATATCATTGTTCTGATGGTAGTGACGAAGGCTGGTATAATTGTCCTGGAACATGTTAGTTTTTAACTTATCGGAGGTTTTGTTGACTTTGCCCCCCCTCCCCCCCCCCGTTCAATGTTGCGAACAACACCGAAACAACTTTTGATAATATACCATGATACAAGCTCAACATTGAGTTTTGGGAGCCGGGGTTTAAGAATGGCAACATGATGCGCTGTATATCTTATGCGCTGTATATCTTATCAGAGAGGTTCAGATTTCACTTCCGCTACCGCTATCCCACACTGGCTTAGTACACATCTGATTGGTTAATCGGATATATCAAACGCATCTGATTGGTTAATCGGATATATCAAACGCATCTGATTGGTTAATCGGATATATCAAACGCATCTGATTGGTTAATCGGATATATCAAACGCATCTGATCCTCTCTATTCACATCGTGTATGCTCTGTTGTCTACAGTGACAAATCAAAATCAAAATAAGAAAGTTTACAGCCGTGCGGTACTAACTGTACCAAATTTTATTTAATTTCGTTGAATCACTTTTGAGATATTAGACTTTAATTATTCTTTTTGCTGGCATCCTTAAGCACAACCAGTGACGTCATAACACAATATAATCAAAATACAAAGCGCCCGGTAACTTGGGAATGAGATGAGCTGTGAATAAATTGCTCAGGCCATTCTTCATCATTTTTATGGTACTTTTAAGTGATGCATAAAAATTGGGGGAATATTTTCATGTCATGTGCACTTTAAGCTTGAAATAACAAACTGAAGGAAGAACATCGATGCCGTTCTTTCAACTATGACACATATAACTTGTACATATTGGTAGACAAATTTCAAACGTTTATCACACGAAGTTTGCGTATCTTGATAAAGCACTTATAGAACTAGCCGGCAACGAATTTACAGGAAACGAATTTCGATTATTGAATGTTCGCAGGTTATTATAAAACTCAAGTTTTACTAACTGTGCATTAGCGCATGCGTAAAATATGTGAGAGAATAGAGTGGTATCACAATTTTTGCTCTTTCATAGCACGACCAACAACCTGGAGACCATGGACAACATCATGGCCCACCTGGCTACCATCACGGAACACATCAAGATATTGTGAGTACTGGCAGTTCCGCTGCAGAAATGGTCAATGTATTGATCAATCCTATGTGTGTGATGGTCGATATCATTGTTCTGATGGCAGTGACGAAGATTTCTGTAATTCTACAGGTTAGATTTCAACTTCTCGGAGGTTTTGCCGGCACTACCTTTTTGCTGCCGGATATGTTTCACTCTCTGCGTGAGCCGCTGTATGTTTAAAGAAAATCCAAATTAATTAATTCGCTCATAGTTATTATTTGTTTTAAAGTTTCACTTGCAAGATTTGAAGAAACTTTGTTTTAAAGTTGTTTTAATAAATGTTTAATTTTAGGTGTACGACTTGCTGATGGTTCTCACAACGCAGGAAGGGTGGAAATTTATTATAACGGCAGATGGGGAACAGTTTGTGATGATGGTTGGAACATCACAGATGCTCGTATTGTCTGCAAACAGCTTGGTTTTCAAGATGCCGTTGCTGCTTACAGTCGTGCGTATTTTGGCCAAGGCACTGGACAGATTTGGATGGACGAGGTTGGATGTAGAGGGAATGAGTCATCGCTATTTTCATGTAGACATAATGGATGGGGATATCATGATTGTGATCACAGTGAAGACGCTGGTGTTTACTGTGGAAGCACAGCTGGTAATGTTAAAAATTCTGAGACTACGATCAACTTCGGAATGGACAAATATTGACACAATCGTTGTTATTTTTTAGGATGGAACATGACAACGCCATGGCCAACATGGCGACCAACGAATGCATCAAGGCATTGTCAGTACTGGGAATTCCGCTGCAGAAATGGTCAATGTATTGAACGATACTCGTTATGCGACGGTGGTTATGACTGTTATGATGGAAGTGACGAAGACTGGTATAATTGTCCTAGAACATGTTAGTTTTTAACTTATCGGGGGTTTTGTATTGTCGTGTACCTTCCTGTGGTGACCTCCAAGTTATCTGCGCTGTATGTCTTAATATACAGAGGCTCAGATTTGACTTCCACTACTACTACCTCTCACTGGCTTAGTACGCATCTGATTGGTTGATCGGATGTATCAAACGCATCTGATTGGTTGATCGGATATATCAAACGCATCTGATTGGCTAATGGTTCTCTAATAGTAGCGGTAAGGGAAGTCGAACCTGAACCTCGCTATTCACGTCGTGTGTGCCCTATTTATTGCCTACAGTGGCAAATCAAAATCAAAATAAGAAAGTTTACAAACAAAATGTCTCGAACGATCTGTGCCAGTGTAAGAGAGATACAACCATGACCGGATTTTGAGGGGAGGTGGACACTTTCCTTGAGATTGGTTTGCACTTCCCCTGAGATTTTTTGCACCTTCCCTGAAATATCATCCACCTCTCCTTGGGAAATGTTAAATGATAGATCAAAGTGAATTTTTTATGCGTACGTTACTTAGAGTCTACACTTGAGAAACTGGTAGCTATTCATTATCTCTATATTAGGTGCTCTTTTAATGGAATTAACTTTGCAGTAATGTAATGAAGAGCAGTATTGGATGAATCGTACAGTCATAATTTATAAATACACTGATACATATGTACAGTGCATGCATACGTCATGTAGTGGCTTTTCCAGGGTACATTGCTACATTCTCAGTCCTAACATTTCATGGGGGCCGTGGACTAGACGCTGCACCTCCCCTAAATATATTTCCACCTGCCCCAGAATTTCCACCAAAATCCAGCCTTGGGTACGACTACCTGAATCAAGCAGAACTTTAGAGTTCGAAGTTCTGCTTTAAACGTGCGACTGAAGGTGAAATTATTATCAGATAATACCAATCCCTGTAGCCATGAATAATTATTGCTTAATTAACATCGCAATCCATGTTTGCTTTATATAGTATGGAACACAACAGCAATGTGGACCACAAAAGCAGCGCCAACAACATCTCGTTATTGTTTACCCTGGGAATTCCGGTGCAGAAATGGCAGATGTATCAGCAAGGGTAACGTTTGCGACAATTATGACAACTGTGGAGACGGCAGTGATGAACGCCGCTCAACTTGTCGAGGTAATGTCGTCAGATTAGAAAGATATCTTGTAGATATAGGTAAAAATTACGGGACTGATTTTGAACAATGATTCGCAATATAGATTGCAATATAGATTGAATAATTTTTTAACAATGATTCGCCGTATAGACTCGGCAGCCTGTCACGATGCAAATCGTCGTTGAAAATAGTTCCGCGTAAAATCATTCAACAGATATATAGAGGATATTACACAACGGCGCGAAGATTTGACTTTTATCTTCGAGTGGTGAAAATAATATTTTACGAACGAGCGCAGCGAGCGAGTAAAATATTGTTTTTAACACAAGGGCTTACTTCTCATCGTGTCAAGCCATCAGGGAGGCAAATCAGAGTAGCGCTGTTGAAAATTTATTTTTTTTCAGCTAACTTGACCGTTTGTCAAAACAAGTTGGATCTTGGTTTTATATTGGACAGTTCTGGTAGTGTTGGACAACATAACTTTGAACGAATGAAACTATTTGTCAAAGATCTTACAGACTTCTACAAGCTAGGGTCAGAAGAGACACGAGTCTCCGTAATGTCGTTTTCAGACTCTGCAAACATTCATATTGCGTTCTCGGCATATTTTTCGGATAAAAACCGGTTTGACTCGGCCGTGGATAGGATTCAGTATAATGATGGAGGAACTGCCACAGGAATGGCGTTAAATATGGCATACAATGATATGTTTACGTCACGTAATGGAGCGAGGAGCTCAGGTAAAGACCTGTTTATATGAACTCCCAACTTTTCAGTTTTCCTTTGTGGTCGTCCCCCCCCCCCTGTTCATGCGAGAGACGAGCCGCCCATCTTAGAGACATCATATCTCAGCGAGATCTCAGTCACCTAACCGGGATGGACATTTTAGCCAATTTTAAGGCTAATTTCCTCTCCGGAAATAAGCAGGGGATTAGACCGAATCGGAGCTTTTTCCGATCCATCAATTCCAGTAAAAAGACAAGTTGAAATGATCAGATCGGAAAAGGAAAAAATGAAGCTTGGTATTATTTAATTATTTAAATTTATGAGATTAATACGGCATTTTGAATATTTTTTATTGGTTGCCAGATTTAATCCGCGGGATTGGACCCCCTAAAAAGTTGAAAATATTTCAACTTTTTATTTGGATCAATCGGAACCAAAAATTTCTACTGAAGGCGCATGCGCGGATTTGATTTTGTTCCGGTTCGGTCCGATCCGCTGCTTATTTTCCGGAGTGGAAATTAGCCTTAAATCTAAAATGAGTTGGAAGCAGTAATAGCAAACTATGATGATCAGCCCTCTTCAAAATGTGATGTCAAATCATTTTCAGAGGCTTCTGTGTGGGGTTGACATTTTGCTTTTGGGAAAATTACCAATATTCGAAATAAATAAATCCTTAAATTTCAGTCTTAATTTTCTTAGAGTTCAAGAAAGTTTTGGTGATCCTGACAGACGGCCGCAGTAACACAGGACAGGTCAGCGGACCAGCTCGACAACTGAAGAACTCCGGTGTTGTGATATTCAGTGTGGGGATAGGGGAGAGTGGTTTGTCCATGCACGAATTGCAAGTTATGGCTTCGGATCCAGTTGATCAACATGTTATCACTTTAAGCAACTTTTCCCAACTACCATGGCTTGCTGAACAGATGTCTTCTCAGACTTGTAATGGTGAGTTTTGTATACACTATTGGTGGTGATGGGGGCGCTGCAGGTGATGATGGTGTTAGGAACGGTGATGATGGTGGTACTGGTGATGATGATGGTTGATGATGGTGGTTGATTATGGTAGTGATGATGATTATGATGGTGGAGATGATGATGGTGATGATGATCATTATTATCATGGTCAGGGCAGGGAAAAAGAATTTTCTTCCTGGGAGCACAACCTGGAGACAAAAATTTCTTGCAGATCAACGGAGTGTTCTAGCTGACCATGGTTTTAAATTCAAGGAATAATGTCTGTCAACCATATGTTGTTGTGCCCATAGTGGGACACGGGTGTTAAGGTTTCCTTCAAATTGTCAAAAGCAAATCTTCATTCAAAGCAATTTCCTGCAGCTGTTTAACATTTCCTGCGAATAGTGCTCGGTTGCTCGCATATTTTTCCAACCCTGATTGTGGTGATGATGATGTTAGTATGGTGATGTGATGATGGTGTTGGGAAAGGTGGTAATGATGGTTGAGATGGTGATTATGGTGATGATGATGATCATCATCATGGTGGTGATAATGATGATGTTAGTATAGTGGTGTGATGATGGTGGTGGTAATAATGATCGTAGTGATGTGATAATAATGGTGATGATGATGACGATGATAGTGCTGATGATACTAACAATAACGTTGTTTCCATTTTTTTAGCATCTCATTTCCAAGTGTTCTGCGACAATGATTACATGACAGCTGTATTCGACCGAGCAGATCTTCCAAAACACTTGAATGTCGACCGCCTGTTTCTCCGAGACCGATATTGTAGGGCTGATTGGAACTCGACTCACGTCATTGTGAAAACTCCGCTGACAGGCTGTGGAACTATTTTCTGGAAAAACGATCAAACTCTCTTCTTTAGGAACGTTCTTTCTGAAGAAGGTGGCAGCCGCGGATTTGGTGTCATTACTAGAGATTATTTGTTCAGAGCAAACTTGACCTGTGCCTATCCTCGAAAACGTACGGTGGGATCTTTCAGTTTTGCTCCGGCGAAACAGAGAGTGTTTGTGAATGTGGGTAAGTATGTTAGTTTAATAATAATCGCCCAGTGTGTGAGTACATGTGCCATTCACATCAGAATTCGATTCCTAGTATGTGGAGTTGTCCAAGTGAGAAGAGTTCTTCTAGTTTGACTCTACCAAACATCGCAGGTTTTCTTCAGGTAATCCGGTTTCCTCCTGTAGTAACACCGGATCAATAAGGGATCACCTTTCTTGGACCGCTAGGTGGAACAATTTAGAAGTATCTTATATAAATAAAGTTAGTTTAGGTTTCCTTCTGCAATAATATTAGGCCAGTACGAGAATTTATTAACTTTACAATCATACAAAAATTTTAACAATGATTGAAGGTATGGTCAACAGGACATGAGTCCCATGTGAAGACCAACCTGATACAATACAATAAGTAGACATACATTAAAGACAAGGACTAGAACACTATTTACATAGCTATATAAAAATTAATAGTTTAGATTATGAGCAACAGCTTAAGTTGAAAGAACGGCATTTAGAGCAGTAGGTTTTCCAAGTGCGCATTCTGTTAACATCGAAAGAAGAGTCTAATTGAGAAGTGTAGTGAGAATGGAGCTGGAACTTAAAGGATGAAACAGACGAACTGTTACGAATGATTGTAGCGAGATTGTTCCATAGAAAGACAATTCGGTTAAAAAAAGAGTTTCTAAAAAGAGAGGTTTTGCACGGATTGACTTGAAGCAAGTTGAACGAGTGCGAGATGAGCGATTAGAAGAAAAGGTCACAAAAGAGGAGATATCTAGGTCGTAGAGACCTTGTTTGCATTTGAAAAAAAAGATGAGATCCTTTATTTCAAGCCAGTAAGATATAGGCAATAAATTAAATTTCCAAAGACGCTCAATAAATTAAGTTTCCTAAGAAGGCCCTTGCTGAACCTCTAGGAATTAAGAACAGTTTAGAACTGCATGACAGAGCTATCTAGTATAAATAAAGTTAGTTTAGTTTAGATTTATTTTTGCAGTAACATTGGGATAATAAAAAATGGCCGTTACTGGACCTCTAAAAAGAACATCTTAGACAACTGATAGATCTAGCCTTATTTTATCACGATATATTGACAGCATCAGGCTGCCGGTTATTCATGTTTGAAGGGAGTAATTGTAAATATAGTGAATTGTTTGCTTCGCTTGTAACAGCTGTTAAAGCTCGAAAATAAATTCTGATTCTGACGATACGAAACAGAATGCTATAACCTCAGGCTTTGCCATTCGTCTTTGTAAGGAACAATATGTGAAGTTTGTCCGAAGGATTGATTCGCCAGTTTAAATCATCTAAACACAAATGAATTATCAAACTAACTGTCTTTTTTTTCCAAGTTCGTTTTAATGGATCATCCGTCTGTTATCAAAAGATAAATTATCAAAAAGGACTATCAATATATACTTTCCTTGTCCAAGTTTGTCCAGACTGATCATCTATCTCTAATTTTAAATCACTCTCTAGGTGGTCAAGGCAATTTCTCGCTTATAATGGATGTCTTCAAGGACATAGATTATCGCCAGCCATACGCATCACAAGACTACCCTGTGTTTAAATCTCTGTCAGATAATCTTTACATTCAGTACTCTATCAACACCAGTAATCCGAATCTTGTCGTGCGCGCAGAAACGTGTAGAGCGACGCCCACCAACAGACCTTACGACACTCCACAATACGTCTTTATTGCTGACGGGTAAGGAGAACAATTACATTACAGTTACTATAAAATATAATTATGAGATACTTTATAAGAAGATTATAAGGAAATAAGGGTAATTAACCGTATTTGTCATACCATTGAGTCAAATCTGCTTCTGTAAATTGCGGATAAGTTATCCTTAACTTGATTGGCGAGTACCTTGTTCAACCTTTCTCTGAATTGATGTGTTTGAAAACTCATCCACCCCCTACTTTTGGTACATTAGTTTAAGAAGAAGTTGATTTATTTGGGGGTTCAATATTAAAAGTAGTCTCGTCTTGACGTGCCTTAATTTAATTTTCTTAATTAAAATTGTGGACAAATTTAAGTTATTTACCCTTTCCAAATAAATTTCATAATTTCCATATCTTATTTCAGTTGCGACAAAGATGAAACGATTCGCCATTACTCATACGGAATGAGTTCTGTCCAGCGTTTTAGCATGCAGGCATTCCGCTTCCTGTCAGAACATCGCTTTGTCTACCTACACTGTGACCTGGTGGTGTGTCATAGGTATGACTACAACTCCACCTGTGCGCGAAGTACTTCATGTTCCAGACGTTATCGTCGTGATGCTGATCAGCAGTCAGAAGATGTATCTGGTATGTATGCACTGTCGTTTGGCCCAGTGATGAAAGGGAAGGAGTCCGCTGACAAGAGTGCTGGAGGTGAGTATCACAGGCTCATAATATTAAGCAGTCCAACAACAAGGGTACATACGACTTCACAAAATATGACGTGATCAGACAGCGATCAAACCGCGGACTACGTACATCAATCAAGTTGCGATTTAATTGCAGTTCAATCGCGTCTCAACTAATCCGTGAAACCAGAGCGCTATAAAACACTTTATAAAATATAGCGCCCTGATGAAACCATTTCTCTGTTAAGCATCCTAACCGGCCGAAAACGTGCCTTAAATATACAAGCGCGCGGGAGGTTCAATAAAGAGTTTACATTATTCTAGCTGCCGTCTAACTTGGTCCTGACTGCGGTTTAGCTGCAATCACACATGGAGTTTGATAGTTGCAGCTCAAGCGCGATATTGCAACTTTCAATCACTGGTTTACACTATCAAAGTTTCTGTGCTCAAAGTAGGAAATTTACATAGGTAAACTAAGTCTTGAAGTGTTTGTAAGAAATGTTTGAGGAGACTGACTCTGTGTATACCGCCGAGTTTGTTCCCTGAAATATTTCTTACAAATCCTTCAAGTGACTTTATTTGTGCATGCAATTTACATTTATACAACATTCCTACTGTAATCCCAGAACCTTTGATAGTGTAAACCATTAGCACTGCGACAAGCTCAAGGTCAAATTAGCTTGCATGAGAATTTTCCCATCCCTCTCGCACCC